CCCCTTCTCCCCTGGGATGTAAAAGAACCCGAATATATCAACCATGTCGCTGAGTGGTTTGATGTCAGCCCTCGCTTGAATCGAAAGAAGATCGGAATTCCACAGGAAGATGCCCCGTCCCGCAGGAGACCATCGCCGCTCTGAGGACCGAGGTCGAGGACTCCCTAGCCTCGATACCCGGTCAGCCACTCGGGACCCGCCTGAGCTTCTGCATCCTAGACGGCTTCCTCCTCTTCCCCGAGTCCATGGCCCCCCTCCAGCCGCACCTGGACGTCAAGCTCTTCCTACGCACCACCTACGCCAGGGCCAAGGCCAGACGCGAGGCTAGGGACGGGTACGTCACCATCGAGGGGTTCTGGGAGGATCCGCCCGGGTACGTGGACGAGATCGTCTGGCCGAATTACGTCGAGGAGCACGCCTGGATGTTCAGGGGAGGCGATGTCGAGGGCGAGTTTGACCATGCCGTCCTCCGGGACAGCGGCATCCGGGTTCCAGGCCAGAGGGGGGATGTGAACCAGGATATGGGCGATACGTTGAAGTGGGCTGTCGACGTGCTCCTGGACGAGATTCGCCGCCGCAGCACCGGCGGATGAAATATCAGAAGCAAATCTACATGTTTACGTATAGTGCAGATGAATGACAGGGAGCAAAGAAGAAAAACGACAGTTACCTGCATCGTAGTCGTCATGAGCATCATTACCATTGCCATCTATCGTCATCCGCTCTCGCCCTTCAATACCCAGGCTGCCTCCGTGGCGGCCCGCGTCATCACCTCCTCCTTGCTGACACCGTCACCAACCTCCACGACCAGCCGGTCGCCCACGTGGATCCTGCACGTCCACCGCCCATGCCTGTCCTCCCCGGAACCGACCAGGTGCTCCTCAATCTCGTATCGGACCTTCTTCCTGCCGGCGTACTGGCCCAGCATCTCCTTAGGATGCTGTACGTTGACGCCGTCGCGCAGCACGCGGTCGAGGTAGGGCAGGATCCCCAGCCGGTCGATCATGGCCTTGCACGTCTCCAGCGAGCCCGAGTCGACCCATACGGCGCCGATGAGCGCCTCGATCAGGTCCGAGAAGAACTTGCGCGCGCGGATCCGGGACAGCAGCGCCCACGGGTGGTGCGTGCCTTCGTCCATGGCCGCACGGATCTGGCCGCGCAGCTCGAGATGGCGTGCCGACCCGGCCTTCTGCTCCAGCGCCAGGGCGGGCGAGCCGTGCCGCATAAAGGACCACAGGGGCTCGAACTTCGACGTCGGCTCTGCCGTCTGCCCGTCTTCCGACACTGTCACGTCTTCCCTGTACCGTCCGTTTTCCAGGCATATGAAGCCGAGGAAATCGCCCGCGACGAGGGCCATCTTGATCAGGTGCATCTGGTAGTACGTCCGTCGCGCGGCTGGTCCGTCTGCCCACACGTGCGCGACGACTAGCCAGTCGAGGATGGCGTCGCCTATGAACTCGAGGCGCTCCATCGTCTTTTGCTCCTTCTGCGTCAGCATGCATGAGCTGTGCGTCAGTGCATCGGCGAGGAGCTGCTTCTTCTGGAACCGATAGCCTATTATCTCCTCGACGGGCGCCAGCACCTCCGGGTTCATCGTGCTGTTCGGCTGGTGGTCAAACAGGATCTGCCGCGCTATCGGCACCTTGGTCCAGTCCTGGTCGTCGATGAAGAGGGCGATGCAGCGGCTAGCCTTGTCGAGTCCGCCCTTCTCGTACGCCGCCCCGATGAGCGCCTCCACAACGTCGGCCAAGGTCTTGGTGGACAGTTCCCGGCTCCCCGCAGGTTCCCGGGACACGTCGTCTAGGTAGAGCGGCCGCCACTTGTTTCCCGTAAAGGGCTTGGTGATGACGTATCTTGACAGTCCGGTCTCGACGCAGGCGCGGGCCAGTCGTGCGTTGGACACCACTTGACTCTTGAAGATGGACAGGTAGCTCTCCGGCCAGTGCAGGTACGTGGCTGTGCCCATGATGCAGGTGCAGTACTTGAGGATGGAGTCACCCAGGTATTCGAGCTGTTCGTAGTTGACCGGCTCGCAAGCGCTCGGGGCACTGATGGCCTCCCGCACGAGCGCGTGGTCGGTCATGCCCAACGGCTTGAGGAGCGTCTCGGACAGGGTCTTGGCCACCAGCATCACCTCCATCTCGTGCATGACTGAGGGGATCAGCATACCGAATCTGACCTTGGACAGGGGAACAGCGTCGACCCTTGCCCAGGGCGCGGGATAGACTGATCCATATGGCCTCTTGCTCTTCTGCACATGGCCGGAGCCCGTACTCAGCGGGTGCAGGAAGTCGCTGCGCCGACTGCATCTCTCGAGGACCAGGTACGGAACGTGGTGCGGCGCATCTTCGTAGTCGAAAAACGCACGTTTGACCAATCCGATCTCGGGCTTGGACGGGAGGCTGCCTCGGTAGACAAACGGGGCTCCGGTCCTGTCTCGGATGAGATGGCCGAATTCTGTGGCCAGCTGCGGTTCAGCTTCGAAGCTGAGCGACGCAATGTCGCCCACTGACAGGTCGGCACCTCGGATGACCGTCTGGATGACGTGTCTCCTGTTGAGGACCTTGTAGCGATGACCAAAGTGTGACTCCAGCAGTGCAGAGGTATGGTCCGGCATCGCATCCGCCTCTCGTGCAGGAACCAGGCGTCCTTGGCTCGGACGGAGCTCCCAGACTACCTCGCTGTCAATGTACACCTTCAGCGGTTGCAGGTGGTTGATCTGAGCAGGAAGTATGACGTCGTGATCGCCCACCGGCTGGCCCCTCTCGTCTATGCAGGTATATGTGTACGCCCATCTCGCCTCGTCATCATTCCATGCTCGGGCAACCTCCTCCCATGGGCTGAAGCGACCGTCGACGCGGGCAGTAGGATCCCGGGTCTCAGATCCCGGCATTTCCTGATTCTGCTGGAACGGCAGCAGGTTATCGTTCAGAAGGCCCGCCCGGTAGAGGGCAATGTAGGCCTGCAGGGCGGCATCCTTTGTGGCGCTCTTCTCGGTCGCATGCAGGGTACGGCTGGTAGCTCGTCGCACGGCCGCGGGAACGAATGACGGCAGCACCACCGTCGCGCTCAAGGCCGGGCCGCTGGAGCTGTCTTGCTCGATAATGTAATCCGGCCTCCCGTCAACAAACTCGCCAGGCGCTAACGTCCGGCAGAAATGCTCGAGGTGTTGCTTCGCATCATCGATGCCAAGCCTGGCTCCGGTAGACCTGACCTGGAAAAATGTCTTGTCTTCGTCGTTGCCCTGCTCCATATACTCCAGCTTCTGCCACTCTCGCTCGCTATCTTCGTACACGCTTTGGATATGGCTCTCCATAGCCTCCCACTGTCCAGCCTGCTGGCGATCACTCCAGAAGAGGACGAGTCTCGACTCTCGCATGCGTGCCCGCCCTCGCCGCTGTATGAATGCCTTGAAGGACGTTATCCTGTCAAAGCAGATGACGAGGTTGCAGGCGGGCACGTCGATGCCCTCCTCGAGGACACTGGTAGCGATGACGAGATTGAGCTTTCCGGTGCGGAACTTCTGGAGCACCGAGAGGTCCGTGACGTTGCTCGAGAGCTCGTACAGGTGGCGGTTCTTGCTGCTGTGATTCGACGTGCCGACGATGGCGCCTATGCGATATCTGTCCGCCACCTCGGGGCAGGAAGTGAGCATCTCATATAGCATGCTTACCGTGGCACGTTCCCGGGCAAATATAATGCACCTCGGGGACTCGGGCGGTGACATTAGCTGGTCGATGAGCAGCCTCGCCTTGTCGGTCATATCCGACGGTTCAGCTGGTGGCTGGGAGACCGTGACTTTGAGCAGGTTAGTTGCCAGGTACTCCTTCTCTCCGCTGATCCACGTCTTGTCTGCGTCAGGACGGCTGGTGAATTCGGTGACGACTCGCCAGATATACCGCTCCGCAGCCCAGAGACCAAGCTCCTCGGCTATGTGAAGTGACACCCTGCAGAACCCCTTCATCTGGTCCTGAGAAAAGGTCTTGTTCGACTCGACGGCCTTGGATAGAAGATCTCTGTTCTTGTCGGTCAAGTTGGCGACCAGATATTTGATCCAAGGATCTTCCCGCAGGTCGAGGTCGCGGTATACTTGGCGAAGAGAGCTCATTGCGGGCGAAGGTTCGGGGTACCGCGGTATCGCATAGTCGACACGCTGTATCTGAGGCTTCATCACATACTTGAGAAGCTCTTGGCGGTGAAGGTTCGGGGTGATGCATCGGGAATCAAGCATCCTCTCCAGCCTCTTCATCTCCTCCCCCTTGGATGACATGGCAGGGCTCGCTGTCAAGCCTAGGATGGAAGGCAGGGTGGAGCCGTCAACGTACATGCTGGTGTGGTAGAATTCCTCCATGACCTTGTTGCCAGCCGCCCTGCCGACGCAGTTGTGGGCCTCGTCGAAGACGATGAGGGACAGCATGTCCATCTTGACAAAAGCATGGCAGAGAGCGTCGTGGAGGACCTTGGGCGTAGAGACGATGATGCGCGTCTTCTCAAGGATGGCTGTCCACGTAGGCGGTGACCAGCTGTCGACATTCTCGTTGCCTGTCAGCAGCCTTGCCGGAACCGAGGGCATCTGGTCCTTGATGGAGTCTAGGTGCTGCGCACAGAGAAGAATAGTAGGAGCGTTGAGCCACACGATCTTGTTGTGGGGTCCATGCTCGAGCTCATGCGCGATCCGAAGCAAGGCACTATTAGGGATTTTTTTCTGTGAGCAACAGTCCTCTCCTCTCCTCTCCTATCGTTATCTGTGACGTACACTTGCGTCTTGCCGCTTCCCGTGGGCATGACAACAATGGCGTTATACTTGAGGCTCTCCTCAAACATCTCGCGCTGGTAAGCCCTCGCATCTATCATGCGGCCCTCATCCTGGGATCGGTCGGGTTCTTCGGGCAGTTGGATGACATTGACGGATGGCTCCGAAAAGGACTCCAGCTCTGCTTCATCTCCAAGACTGAGGTGAGGCTGGTCTTCGGGGGTACCAGAGTCATCGTCTGACGCAGAATCAGGTTCCCAGCTAGGCATGCTGACGGGAGGGAGACGGGATGAAGACGGGCAGCGTTTCGAGATCAGGGAAAAGCTGATGAACAGACGGTTTGTTATAGAGAGAAGAGAGAAGGTATCTGACAGATGCCCGCTCCGAAGGTTTGAGGCGAGGTGAGGGAAACGCGATGCTAAAACCCCTCTCGGTGGAAACCACAACCTGCTTAAGAGTGTGACGAATGATCGGAAACGGCAGCAAGCAGGGGCAGCTGACGGCATATGGACTGTTCGATTGTTTGCCAAATCGTCTGCCCCTCACCAACACTGTGCGCCGTGATTCGGGGCAAATATGAATGAAAAATGATAGGAGCAAACCCCAACAGTGAAACCGCACTCAGCTGCTGCTAGATGACTGTCGTCCACCGGGCAGTTTTTTGCGAGCTTGACAAGGAAAAAGGTGCTACCTGCCCGCGCACGATGGAATCGTCAACTTGGCGAAACCGTCAAGCGTGCAAGTACGCACCTGCAGTTACGATAATCTCAGCATACAGCTCCGTCGAAATAGCACTCTGCAACATACCAACAACAGTAGCAGCTCTCGTGCCAATACTGCTACTCTACAAAACTAGCACATGTGATATTACTCTGTACGAGTAGATGTAGAGTAGATGCTGACTTCGGATTAATACTCCGTACGAGGTTCTACTGATATTACACCTTGCAACCTTGCTGTCACGAAGTAGGACGTAAGAGGGATAATATACCAGTACCACACCCCTCCCTCTATAGAAGAACGCATAGCTGCGGGTTAGGGATTTCCTAAATAATATCAATAATACCTGTTACCCAACCGAGGTCTCCTAAAGAGACCTGGGACAGAGACACACACACCAAGGCGATGCCTCCCATAACCAAAGAACGTGACACTTGCTATCCACTACCCTGCATCTAGGACGCGGACTTGAACCATTTAGGGTAAAGAAGATACACACAAAACATCACTGAACCTCTCATCCGTCTCTCCTCTCATAAGTGTAACACGGTTTCTCTATCGAAGTGGAATGATTCATCTTTGACTAGCCGACGATATGAAGTTTTACAGTGTCAATACTCAATATGTTACTGGTAGTGCTGGCAGGTACGTGTATTGACGGAGAGTTCCAAGTTGCGTCACCAATGCTAGATTGAAGGATCAACCCAATCAAAACTCTACCCAAACAGGTAATAATAACAAACAAGCAGACGATCACACTACATGTACACCAGCGTCACTCCCGTCAACTGAGATCTCAACATCCTAAGCATCGTAACATCGAACGGACTTAGCCCAACATCCTAGCGAAGACATAAAATACGTGTCAACCGTACCTCGAAATCCACCATGTCAAAGTGACCCCGCTCCCCCTCCTCCTCCCCCCGCCCCTATCCATGAACTCGAAGCTCTTCGCCACGGGCTTCAACGCCTGGTCCCAGCTCTCGCTGGGACGACGTTCATCGAGTCCGGAAGACGAAGCCGAGGACATCTTTACATTCCGCAAGGTCCTCGAGGGCGGAAACCTAGACGTCCCAACAAGCAAGCTAACGTACACCATAGGTCTGAAATGCTATCCATCCCTACACAAAAACCATGGCACTGACATCGTCACGCATGATATGCACAGTCCCCCAAGGCACCGAGCTTCGCAGAGCAGGTACCGGCTACCCCCATGACGACCAGCAGCTTCGCGTCTCCCTGGACGAAGTCGAGAACGCCCTGGGTGAGACCCTCGCCATCGATCGGGGCGACACCCTTCACATACGCAAGTGTCCCTCGCCAGACGACGCCTCGCATCAGCAATCCCGGTTCGTCTGTCCCAGTCCCGTGAGGCAGATGGCCGCCTGGGACGCAGGATGGGTTATCCTCCACGAGGATGGCAGGGTAGCCACCATGGGAGACGGCCGGTTCCCAGACTGTCTCGGACGGGAGGTGGCAGCGGATAGGTAAGACAGCTAGACATTATGACCCGGCCAGTCCCGGCTCTGTGCTTACAATGTCTACTCCTTCTTCTCTTACCCACGCTGTCAGTCCTGCAGATGCCCCGTGTATCGTGACGGATCTGAGCGATCTGGGGGAGCCCATCAGTCGCGTAGCAGCGGGCGGGTACACGAGTGCCGCGCTAACCGTGTCGGGCGGCCTGTACGCGTGGGGGATGCCATCTCCGGGGACGACGCATCGTCGGCAGCAGGCCATCGGGGGGCTCAGCGGCGTCCCCAACTACGTCGGTGTTGGTGACGATTGCGACGTCCAGGACGTGGCACTGGGTGAGTCGCACGCTATTGCCCTGACCGCCGAGGGGGACGTCTACGTCATTGGCGGAAACGAGAATGGCCAGCTCGGGCTGGGGATGCCGTTCACAGAGAGGGCTTCGGAGTGGACAAAGGTGAATTTGCAGCTCGAGCCGGGTGAGCGACCGGTGCGGGTTGCTGCTGGGGTGAGAACATCGTTTATCCTGGTGGCAGGTGATGGGTAGTAGCACTGGCAGGTGAGATCATAGAGTTGTGGTGATGGGTATGCTCCTGTAATTTTTTTTTCAGGAGCTCGCGTGACCCCTCAATCTATTTTTACATCTCTGTATTTTTCTTGGTTGCCCTCCCCCGATGCCGTTTGCACCCCTTGACAGAACTAAGCGCATGATACTCATAGACTCGTCAGGTAATCCTCAATCTCCTGCGGGGTCAGCTTCCTGAACCGCGGTCCTTGGGCACCCTCGACCCCATCGACCCCCAGCAGGTGTTCTGCCGGCTCACCGACGATGCCTGTTGGGTAATTTGGTCAGTAATCATCATTTCTCTTGCGTATTAGCGCAGGGAGGAGGGTTATCGCCATACCAATCTCGATAGAGTCCCCGTTCATCTCGCCCTCGATGTTGTCCTTGAGCGTGAGAAGAGCAATGTGGATGGCGTCCTCTAGCTCCAGCTCCTCCGAGTATCTCTTCTCGAGGAATGTCTTGGCCTTGGTCGCGCTCTTGCCAATGGCCGTGGCCTTCCAAGGGTAGTAGCTGCCCGAGGGGTCAACCTGGTACAGCATGGGACCGCCCTTGTGGACGCCGCCCGTCTTAGTCGTCTTCTTCTTCTTTTCGGCATCGTCGTCATCGTCGTCCATATCGTCCTGAACCTCGGACTCGGTGGTGGGCTCGATGCCCTCGTCCCATCCGGCGACGAGGAGGCTGACACCGTAGGGGCGGACACCGGCCGACTGGGTGGCCTCCTGCATGACGCGGGCGACGTCCTGGACCAGTATACGGGTCGGCGGGTACTCGTTGTAGATGCGCTTGTATCCCGTGTGCGAAACCTTGCGTGCGCGGTCGACTAGCACGCGGTAGTCGGGGCCCATGCCCGAGTAGACCATGCCAATGTTGGGGGTGATGTTGCTGATCTTGGCGAGCGAGCTCTGGTCGGCAAGCGGCGACGACGACTTCTTCTCGGTGGCGAGGACGATGCCGTTGGTGGCTGTGGCCGGGCGAAGTCAGTCCCAGATCCGTCCGAGGGCGGTGGCCCGGCAGCAGCAGCAGCAGCAGCAGGGCAACGAGAGAGAAAGAGAGCGGGCTGGCGTACCTTTGATTCCGAGAGCAGTGATGCCCTGGTTAACAGCATTCAGAGCATACTCTGTACAATGGGTCAGCTAAGACAGCAAAAAGAAGACTTGCCGCGGGGGCAGGGAGTTGGAGCCGCACCAATCTGCACCAGCTTGCCGCTACATCATCAGGTTAGCCATCGTCGATGCTGTCATGAGGAGGGGAAAGAGGGAGAGCTGGAGCGGCTTCGACGGCATACCTGGGCGAGAAAGTTGTGAGGGAGAAGGAGTAGCGGTCTGCCATGGCTGATGTTTTGGCAGCAACTTGGTAAGTTGGAGGGTTCCGATCAAGTGTTTCGTCGGTGGAATAGTTTCTGGATGTCGAAGGGGGGGGGGGGGGGGGGGTGGTGACTGGCGGGGGTCAAGCAGCTGTGGTGGTCTGGCCGGTGGGCAGCTAGCAGCACGCAGCACCAAGCAGCACCAGGCAGTGAAGCTGCCGCGTCTCAAGGCGGGCGGAACCTTGGAGGTGTGTTTCGGCGAATAGTTTAACCGTAGAAATTTATCCGGAGGCACCAGCAGCATTACAACGCACACACTGGACCCCAGCCACTTCTTATGGACATGCGGATTTGCCTACGTACGGGGCGGAGTTTCTCTGAGGGGTCTGTCTGGTCTTTCCGTCAGGCACCGCCGGCACCTTCGGTGACCTTCTATGGATTAGAACCGTCCCCAGGTTCTGCTGATGCCGAACTAGGAGGCCTTTCTTTTCTTTTCGAAGTTTTACCACTTGAAGACATCGTCTCGTTGACCATGTCCAACGATCTTGTTGGCCGTTGTGCTGGGCCTTCATCCCACGTTTGAATTTTTTTTATTCATCTGCTTGATTTTTGAAAATCTGTCTGGCACCGCCAGCCATTCTATGCTATACTATAATCCTCCTTCCACACCCCCTCGCCGACCGAGTTTACGTCCGGACGCCTGGCCCTGCACACGATTGACAGCAGTGCTGTATTCTGAGGTCATAATGGACTCGTCATCGACAGGTTGGGACTGGTCCTCCCTCCCCCGTCAACGAACGGCCAGAACTTCTGAACAGCGGCCAGCGGAAGCGCGGCCTGAACAGCGGCAACAACCGGACAACAAGAGGCGGCGGCACTATGGCCCACGATCGTGTCGCATCTGCCTCGAGGTAGAGCAGCCTAAATTCCCGACGGACGCGTCGACGACGCTGGGCATCTCGTCGGCGTCATCACGACCGGTATACGAGTCGGACGACGCGGAGCTGGGACGTCTGCTTTCGCCATGCAAGTGCAAGGGATCGCAAAAGTACGTGCACGAGGGGTGTCTCAACGCGTGGCGGCTGGCCAACCCAACAGCGACGCGCAACTACTGGCAGTGCCCCACATGCAAGTTCTCGTATCGCATGGCTCGTCTGCACTGGGCGTCGATGCTCAGTAGCAAGCTCACGCAGGTGGCCCTGACCTGTATGCTGCTCGTGGTCGGCATCTTCGTCCTCGGATACATTGCCGACCCGCTGTTCGACCTGTGGTACGACCCGCTGGGCACCGTGACGGACACGGTCGCGCAGGTGATTACCGATGCTGAGGCTCAGGAGGAGCCGCTCTACAGGGCGGAAGAACCCGATACCTGGACCGAGCACTTTGCCAAGGGCTTCTTTTCGCTGGGGCTCGTCGGCCTGTTCAAGACCATGCTCTCCATGTCGCCGTTTCAATGGTTCTACTACCGGGGCGGCGGCGGCGTCCTGGGAGGCTCCGGGAGGCGTCCGGGTGCCACGGGTCGTGCCAGGGCCGAGAATATGAGCTGGGTCTTCATCCTCATCGGCGCTGCCACCTTTCTCATGGCGATATGGAGATTCGTCAAAGCCCTAAGTGCCCGAGCGCTCAAGAATGTCAGCGACAGGGTCATGGATGTGGGCAACGACGATGACGATGACGATGAATGACCCAAGTCCTCACCCCCCCCCCCCCCCCCCCCCCCCCCCCCCCCCCCCCCCCCCCCCCCCCCCCCCCGGCGATCGACTCGCTCTTCCCCTCCCCATACGACATACGAATCGTATCAAACCACCAAAGGACTATCAAGACAAGTTGCCGCTCTTTCGTCGTCTTCTCTTCTCTTCCCTCGTTACTATTTCTCTTGCCATCTTCGCCTATCATGCCGGGCAGCTCGAGAATACCCGCCAGCCTGCGTGGGAGTCTAGAGTCTGTCAAGAAGCGCACGCCAGCCCGGCCGACGCTTGACATGATTAATCCGGATCTGTGAGCGCCCAATTTCCCTCCCCGACTCTCTCTACGGAGTCAATTCTTTCTCTTACAAACCCTTTCTCTGTAAGAGAGAGAGAGAGAGAGAGTTGGAAAGAGGAGGAGGAAGAGGAGGAAAAGAAAAGGAAGAGTGTGTGTGTGTGCGTGTGTGTGTGCGCGCGCGCGAGAGAGAGAGAGAGAGCTAACACATCCTCTCAGTGTACTGAATAGTTTCCGAAACCTCGTCTTCGTCTACTTCGTCCTCCGCTGGACCCGACGGGCATACTGGAAGCTCAAGGGACGAGGCATCATCGGCGCCATCCTGGAGCTGTACGCCAACCTCCGACGGATCGGATACGGATACTTCCTCCGGGCTCCCGGCGTGCGCGGCAAGGTGCAGAGGCAGGTGCGCGAGTCCCTGTCCAAGCTGTCGGACAAGCTGGTGCCGACCGAGATGACGAGGCACCTCGCCCTGCCCGCCGTCCCGCTCGGCGACGAGGCCATCCGGGCCGAGCTGCAGGCCCTGGCCGACATGGACCACACCAGGTGGGAGGACGGCTTCGTGTCGGGTGCCGTCTACCACGGTGAGAAGGAGCTGATGGCCCTCCAGACCGAGGCGTTTGGCAAGTTCACAGTCGCCAACCCCATACACCCGGACGTGTTTCCCGGCGTGCGCAAGATGGAGGCGGAGATCGTCAGCATGGTCCTGGGGCTGTTCAACGCGCCCGCCGGGGCTGCGGGTACCACCACGTCCGGCGGGACCGAGAGTATCCTCATGGCCTGTCTGTCTGCCAGGCAGAGGGGATATGTCGAGCGTGGAATTACGGAGCCCGAAATGTGGGTCTTCTTTCCTCTTCCTTTTTTCCTCTCTCCTCTCAACTCTCTATACCTTTCTTCTTGACTCTGCTAGGCAAAGACGGCTTGTTCGTTGTCAACTCGACTGACAGGATATATGTATATAAATATATATATATTTGCAGGATCCTCCCCGAGACCGGCCACACTGCCTTCAGAAAGGCAGGCGAGTACTTTGGCATCAAGGTGCACCTGGTACGGTGCCCGGAGCCGGACTACCAGGTCGACGTGCGGGCCGTGTCGCGACTGATCAACAGCAACACGGTCCTCCTGGTGGGGTCTGCGCCCAACTTCCCGCACGGCATCATCGACGACATCGCGGGACTGTCGAGGCTGGCGCAGCGGCGCAACGTGTGCCTGCACGTCGACTGCTGCCTGGGGTCGTTCCTGGTGCCGTTCCTGGAGCGGGCGGGCTTCGAGACGCAGCCGTTCGACTTTCGGCTCCGGGGCGTGACGAGCATCAGCTGCGACACGCACAAGTACGGCTTCGCGCCCAAGGGCAACTCGACGGTACTGTACCGGACGGCTGAGCTGCGGACGTACCAGTACTTCGTGTCGGCGGACTGGACGGGCGGCGTGTACGCCTCGCCCGGCATAGCCGGGTCCCGCCCGGGCGCGCTGATCGCCGGCTGCTGGGCCAGCCTCGTGTCCGTGGGCGAGGCCGGGTACGTGGACGCGTGCGGCAAGATAGTCGGGTCGGCCAAGAAGGTGGCCGACGCCATCCGCGAACGCCCCTCGCTGTCGGCCGAGCTCGAGGTCATGGGCAGGCCGCTCGTGTCCGTCATCGCCTTCACGGCGCGCAACCTCGACATCTACGACATCGCGGACGGCATGTCGGCCAAGGGCTGGCACCTCAACGCCCTCCAGAGCCCGCCGGCCATCCACGTGGCCGTGACGCTGCCCATCGCCAAGGTGTGGGAGAAGCTGGTGTCCGACCTGGAGGCCGTGGTCGAGGACGAGCGAGAGAAGGAGCGCGTGCGCATCGCCGAGGGCAAGGGGTCCAAGGGGAAGGCCGTCGGCGACTCGGCCGCTCTGTATGGCGTTGCCGGCTCTCTGCCGAACAAGAGTGTCGTCGTCGATCTGGCCAGGGGATTCTTGGATATCCTCTACAAGGCATGATGATTCTCTTGTCGTCTCGGGGCTTTACTACTATACCAGTAGGCGTTTTCTCTCTCTCTCTCTCTCTCTCTTGTACTATCTACTCTCTCTCTATCTCTCTCTCTATCTCTCTCTCTCACTCTCACTCTCTCTCTCTCTGCCATTTCTCTCCTTCTTGTTTTTTATTTTATTTTCTTCTTTTCTTTCTTCTTCATTGTCTCTCCCTAACCTCTCCATATGGTAACACATATCTTCCTTATTTTATCTTATATACTACTACATATAATTTCTATACCGTTACGACCAGGAGAGGAGAAGACACATGAGCGGGGTTTTCCTGTGAATGGACTCTTGCGGGAAAGGGAAGAGTCTAGAATTGCATTTCCTGTTTCATCATCATGACGACTTGTCACGTTCAACCTCCTCATCTCCTTCTCCGACCGGCAACAGCAGCAACGGCGTTGGCAGAACAGCAGGGACCGAGGCTGCGGTTCAACACACGGTGCAAGCGACGCGTCAAGCTTTCCCGCAGTGTCACCGTCAAGTTCCACATCACCTGATCGAGTGATCCGAGTGAGGCGTACTCGGGAAGCCGCATCGAGGCAGACGTTGCGGGGGGGG